AGGCAAAAACAGTCAAATTACCTTGTCTGAGGCCCCAGGTGAGTGTGGAAGTAAGAGCTATGTTTAGGCCTTTGTTTTCCAGCCTTAAGGTCTGAACTGTAGCCCAACGTGTTCATCAGTGTTCATCAGCTCACCTCAGGATTTGACAAGCCCCATCATGCCCCTGTAACTTGGCCGTGATGTGTGGCCTTGTGAAGCTACACCTCACTCAGGGGCAAGAATCAGCTTACCTCACTGGCTGTGAGAAGGTGAGGCAGAGGAAGGATGAGTGATGATGAGACCTGGTTTCAGATCAATTTCACTTTGAAACAGTGATACAAACCCGTGGTACCAGGAAGCATCTGGGAGGAAGTTGTAATGATCTGCCCTAGAGCTTAACTCCTTAGTGGGCTCTCTGTGACTCATAGCTTGCAGAGAAAACCGTTTCTGTTCCTACAGTTGCCCCAGCAAGTTTCCCCAGAAAGATCAACTTGTCCTGAGAGCTCCACCCTCCCAGTAAACTACAGAGCACCCCTGCAAAACAGCCCTTTCCCGATGCAGACAGAGCCAGGAGCCTACTATGCTGTGTGGGCCTACGCATCTGCTTTTCCCTTTGTGCTTCATGCATTGTGTAAAACACAGACCTGTAACTAATTGCTTCCTAGGTTGGGAGGTGGTTTTACTGTGATGTAGAAAGAGACCAGGATTTGAAGTGAGAAGCCTAGTAGTTGTGTGTATGCTTAGACTACCTTTCACAGAAGGCTTTTACACTCAGCCAGACACAGTGCTCAGTGTTATGCACACCATCCCCTTTACTCCTCCCAATAGCCTTGTGAGGTCTGGTTTTTATTTCCATTTTCCAGATGAAGAAACTGAGCTTTGCCCAAGCACACAGGAGGTGTAAATAGCATTATATGGATTTGAAACCCAGTTTTTTGGGTTCCAAATCCCATGTTCTTCATCATTTACCTGCCTTCAGGATTTGAGAGTTGGCCCTGCTGCTTCCTAATTGGGGAGCCATACATAGTTTATTTACCTCTCTGAAGCTGTTTCCTGAGGCAGTTTGACCTTTGGCAGCTTCTAGTTCCTGAGTTGTCAGGTTGGGAGCTGTAATATCCACCTTGTGGGTTGTTTTGTGAGGGTTTGGGCAGGAAAACACTTAGCTGGATGTCTTGGGAAGAGTGGGTGTTTGAAACTTGTTCTTGCCTGCCTAGACACATCATACGTCTTGGTTGTGATTGGTGTTCAGCTGAACGCAGGGTAGAACTGATGGGGCCGGGCCCCCGGTGTGCCTGGACTCACTCAAAGCACAGCCTGCAAGCAGCCTGTGTGGGAGGCAGAGATGCCTGCAGTAGACAACTGCCAGCATCTTCTTGGTTGTTGGCACTGTCCCCTTGAAAAGTAGATGGGCAACCCAGATACTGTGCTACAAATGTTTGAAAACATACACTGGTGGAGATATGCCAGCAGACAGGCAGCGCAGTGTGCTGTACACTCCTAGGGGACAAATTTTGTAGATAGTGGGAAGAAGATTTCTGGGTTACTGGTACCTTGAGGAAGTGACTGGTCTTAGAATTTGGGGGCTTAAGGCTCCTGAGCAATAGAGGAATCATTAGCCTCCTGCTGCCTACCTAACCTGGCAGGAGAGGATGGGAGAGCTCATTGAGAAGAGGCCATGAGTTAAAGGAAATCAGCACTAGCATGCCGTGAAAAGTGCCCCGGATGAGTGGCTTAGACAGAAATTTATTTTCTCACAGTTCTAGAGGATAAAAGTCCAAGATGATGGTATTGGAAGGATTCTTCTCACGGCTCTCTCCTTGGCTTGTAGATGGCCAATTTTTCCCATCCTCATCAGGTATTTCCTTTGTACAGTCTATCCAAGTTTCCTCTCAAAGGACACTGGTAATAGGAGGTTAGGGCTCACCCTCATGACCTCATTTTGACGTAATTAACCTCTTTTAAGACCCTATCTTCAAGTATAGTCACATTGTGAGGTACTTGAGGTTAGGACTTGAACATAGTAATCAGGTGGGTGCATGCAAGACTTCATGACAAGAGAAAACTTGGGCCTACAGAAAAGTTAAGAAAATAAGATTCTTAACTGGTAGTCATGACCAAGCGGTTAAGGTGACAAACTGGAGAATAAATTGTAGTCATTGGGAAGATTCATTTTCGTCCAGCCTTTTCTCTGCGCATGGTTACACATACTATATGTCGTTCTGCATTCTGCATATTTTTAAAACTTTATAGCAAAAGAATTTTCCTATATAATTTTAAAACTCTACTGTAAATATTACTTTGCACAGCTGGATGAATGAACCATGCAGAGAGTGCCCTATTTAATTTTTTCCTATATTTAACATTTGTCACATACCATTCCTGATCCTTCTAGACTTAAGGCAAACCACATTCATCAGAAAATGAGGCTACAAAGCTGTGTGCTAGAGTAGAGGTAAAGGGCATGGCTACCCTGGGGATCTCAGGGCCCCTGAGACTCTCTGGAGCTGAATCAGGCCCTTTTTCCTTTCCTCCCACTGGCCAGACATGTCTCAGCCTGGGACTCCTCAGTGGGAAGGTCGTCAAGGAGGCACACTGGTCTCTAAGCAATCTGCTCTTTCATTCCAGCCTTCCCACAGCGGATCCTACCTGTGTGTGAGAGCTCCTGGGCTCCAGGGAGCTGGCACTGGGTTCTGGGGAGCTGAAGGCAGCTCTTTATGGTCTTTCAGCCCTTCTGCCCCTTCCATCCACAACTGCTCTCTAAAGGATGGGCAGTGTCTTGTCTCCTTTTACGTAGACAAGTTTTCCCTGTTTTTGAACTTTACACCAATGAAATCATCCTAATGGAATCCAGAATGTGTCATTCCCAAACATGGATCTTTGACATGAATATTTTTAACCAAAAGCAGTTAAGAAGCAGCAAATGGAGGAAGAGCTCTTTCCACCCTCGCTGCTTGCCACCTAAAGACAGGATATAAATTCTCCTTTACTGAGGCCACTCTTTATCAGCCCAGAGAGGGTACCAGAGGAATCTGCAAACAAATCTCACTCCATTAGTTAGCTTACTCCCCTGTATTTACCTTCCCACAGTTTCCTGCCTCTGGAAGCCTGTAACTGCTTTTCTTTGTCTTGTCATCTTTAAAATTTATTCTTCTTTGTTGAAGATGCTGTATAAACCAGAGTCCTAAACCACTGCTTTAAGTTACCTTTCACTGAGGTTTCTCCCATGTGATGCGCACTGCATACATTAATAAACTTGCTTGTTTTTCTCTTATTTACTGGATTTTGTTATGGGGTCTCTTGGTCTACAAACACTTGAGGGTTGAGGAGCTATTATACTTCTTTCTTCCCTGACAATATATGTATCCTCTGATACCTGGTTTCTACTCTCCAACCTCATTTTTGTTAGATTTGCCCTTGTTGCGTGTCCTTGTACTTGATTCATTTCACTCTAACTCTACCACAGTGTTTCTCTCCATCCCACCTTAACGAACATTTGCTATTTCCATAATTCACTGTTGTGAGTTGTGAGGCAATGAACATTATGTGTCTTTTGGTGAATGTACTTTAGTTGAGTCTGTACATTGGAGCGGAATTGCTGGGCCCTGGGGAATGCTTCAGTACATATTGCTAAGCTGTTTTTCAAAGAATTGTTCCATTTTACACTCCCACGTCAGATCTGCTCCGTGTATGTTGAAACTTTAACATAACATTTACTGTTTAAAACATTTTAAAATAAACCATTCAGTGTCACTGAGTACATTCACAATGTTATGCAACCATCATCCTTATTGATCTCTAGAACTTTTTCAACATCCCAAACTGAAACTCTAATACTCATTAAACATTGTCTTCCCTTCTTCCCCTCTTAAGCCCCTCATAATTTGGGGGGGGGGTACCTGGGATTGAACTCTGGACTTGCACTTGCTTGGAGATTGAACCTATGGCCTTGTGCATGCTAAACATGTTCTCTCCCCACTCAGCCCCAGCCTCATGTCTTCAAGTTGATTCATGATGTATCACTGAGTTGCCCAGGCTGGGATTAAATTTGCTGATCCTCCTATCTTGGCCTCCTAGACTGTTGGGATTGCAGGTGTGTGCCACTGTTCCTGGCCACATTTGACTTTTTGATAAGCTGCCAAACTTTTCCACAGTTGGCTACACCATTTCACATTCCCACCAGCAATGCACAAGGGCTCTAGTTTCTCCCCATCTTGCCAAGACTTCTTGTTTTTGTAGTAGCCATCCTAGTGGGTGTGAAGTGGCATCTCATTGTGGTTTTGATTTGCATTTCTGTAATGACTAATGATATTGAATATCTTTTCATAATGCTTATTAGCTATTTTGTATATCTTCTGAGGAAAAAAATGTCTTTTCAAATCCTTTGTCCTTTTTTTTTTTTTTTAAATTGGGTTGTTTTTGTTTTGTTTTGCTGTGGAGTTTTAGGAGTTCTTTATATATCCTGGGTACTAATCCTTTAAAATTCTACATTTTTATATTATAATTTTATATACCTTTTGAATGCTTTATCATGTGCACATTACTTTCATAGTTTAAAAAAACTCTTTGTTATCCTTTCTTATTTTAAGGAAATATATTTTTTAACCAAAATGCTAATACTAATCTGAGACTGAGAACATCCTCTTTCCCCCGGGAAGTAATGCAGCTCATTGGCACCACACCTGCTTGGCAAGTGCAAAGTACTGAGTTCAACCCTTTATCTCTTGAGGTTACCTGGGGCTAATATCACTGAATGTTTCTGATCTTGGTTCTCTGGCTTCATGAACAAAGTAGAACTGGATCCACAAACTGACTATGAAGGGACCCTCCCCCCTGAGACCAAACCAGAGCCCTGTCTGAAAGTTATATTAGTCACATTACTCATCAGAGGAAGTAAGCCAGGTGTCCCCGATCTGCAGTCACTTGGTAACTGTCCTTGCTCCAGGCAGGGACTCTTATCAGGTCTTATTTTCCTCCAAGTAGTTTTCCGAAGCCCTTTTTCCTAATACTCTTTTTCCCCACAGTAGCTTTCACCGGCTGCCCTGGGCAAGAGTTGGCCTCGCTTGGGACTGATAACAACGACTTCACTGTGTTGAGCGGGGGAACAGTCCAGGTAAAACACCATGCCCAACTGTCTGTATAGCACCCATCGGCTGCAAATACATCTGATCAGACAGAAGGAGGATGTTCTCTGTGCATGCTCAGATTGCTGCTGCCAGCGGTCCTCCATTGCCACAGCTGTTGTGAGCAAAGCATGTCCAGCAGAGCAGGTGGTGTAGCCCTCAGCCACCCAGCTGTGAGCATGAGTACTGATCTAAGCTGGGACGCAATTATAGCTGCCCAGTAGGAGTGCCAGGGTTGTGTGGGACAGTGAGAGCTGCCCTCCTTGGCAGGGTTCACACACTGCTCTTAATCCCCACCCGCACCCCAGCTTCCCCTTCTTTTCCCGTATTATCCAGGGTAACTCCAGGTGAAGGCCATGCCATTGCAGAATTGCCAATCCCGTCTCCCTCCTTTCCTTCCTTTCCCTCCTTCCCTTCTTTCGCTTGGGTATTGAACTGAGAGCCTTCACACTGAACTACATGCCCAGCCCATTTTTTATTTTGAGACAGGTTCTCACAAGTCGCCCAGGCTGGGCTTTGAACTTAAGATTCTCCCACCTCACCATCCCAGAGTGGTAGATTTACTGCTGTGTTTAGTAAATGACCACATGTCAAAGTTTTAAAGATAATAGCATACATCTGTGTAATCATAGCTGCTTGGGAGACTGAAGCAGGAGGTTTGCCTGGGCAATTTAGTGAGATCTTACCTCAAAAAAAAAATTAAAGGAACTGGCAGTGTAGCCCAGTTGTAGAGTGATTGCCTAGCATACGCTAGGCCCTAGGTTCACTCCCCAGTACCATACTACTAAATAAACAAACAAACAAATGAACACTCTCTTTTGCTTATCTCCATCTATCTGCCTAAAGCCCTGTCCATCCCTCTTAGAGAAGACACTGATAACTACGGTGTCTAGGTTCTTTCCCTCTAGAGTTTAGTTGTGTGTTATATATTTATTTATATGTATTTAGAAAGGTATGTTTTGAGTATATACAGATATAAAAATAGACTCTTTGGGCCAGGGGTTTAGCTCAGTGGTTTCGCCGCCTGCTGCACAAGCGCAAGGACTCAAGTTCGATCCCCGGTACACCCCCCCCCAAAAGACTCTTTTCTTCCTTTCCTTTATGAAAAGCTGACATTCTATTTACATGTCCATACCTACTTTTTTGTGTACAACAGTCTATCAGTACCCCTGTCCCCTTCCCACAGCCATTACTTTTTTCTGCATCTTCCCTGGCTTTGTCTGTGTTAAGAAAATCTGAACGTGTGATCTTATTTTCCTTTCCCCTTACACAAAAGATGGGATAGTGTGTGTTTCTTTGATTGTTTTTTTTTTTTTTTTTTTTTTGAGACAGGGCCTTGTTATGCAGTTCAGGCTGGCCTTGAACTCACAGCAGTGCTCTTGCCCCAGCCTCTTGGGTGCTGGGATTATAGGTGTGTGTCACCATGCTCAGCCAAAGCTGGAATAGTGCCTGGCATATATTAAGCCCTATGTGTTTGTTAATAAAATTCTAATCTATACGAAGCTGTTTGTATCTTGATCTTTTCATTTAGCAGCATACATCAAAGAGCCTTCTTTGTCAGCAGATATAGAGCATCCTCGTTCCTTTTTTATTTATTTATTTATTTTTTGGTACCGGGGATCAAACTCAGAACCATGCACTTTTAAGGCAGGCAGCGGATCCACTGAGCTAAATCCCCGGCCCCTTGTTCCTTTTTTAGAGCTGCATAATATTCTACTACATGGATTGTGCTGTAATGTGTGGTCCTTCTCTCTACGTGGATGCTTAGATCGTTTGTAAATTTCCTTGGGCAGTAGGCCCATCTATGTGTCTTTCTTCACTCTTAACTCTGATAGGTGTTCATGCTCTTTCCACATCCAGGTTAAGGTGTCTTCTGTCCTTGCAGGAAAAGAAAGCTTTGAAGACCTCCCCATCCAAACGCATTTTACGAAGACGCAAGAGAGAATGGGTGGTCCCGCCAATATCTGTCCTTGAGAATGGCAAGGGGCCCTTCCCCAAGAGGCTGCATCAGGTATGATTGTGCCTTCCTCCTGGGAGTCATGGGTGGCTACAGGGATTCCACCCACAGGCCTGAGTGTGAAGTTTCTTGCTGCTGAGTGCTAGGGCCTATGGAGGAAAGCCCCTATCATAGGAGCAGATTCTCATAAGGTTGTGTCCTTCCCACCTCTCCCAGAGGATTCTTTGCTACAATCAGCTGCTGTTTTCTTTTGCCTCCAGCTCAAATCTGATAAGGACAAAGGCACCAAGATTTTCTACAGCATCACAGGGCCTGGGGCAGACAGCCCCCCAGAGGGCATCTTTGACATCGACAAGGAGACAGGCTGGTTGCTGTTGAATAAGCCACTGGACCGGGAGAAGATCGCCAAGTATGAGGCGAGTAGTCTTCAGCACCCCATATAAACGTCCCACCTGCAACAGGGTCCCCACACCCGAGGAGGAGGGAAGCAGAGGGCTGATCCCAGACCTCTGTGCCCACAGCTTTTCGGTCATGCTGTGTCAGAGAACGGTGCCTCCGTGGAGGAGCCCAGGAACATCTCCATCATTGTGACGGACCAGAATGACCACAAACCCAAGTTCACCCAGGAGGTCTTCCATGGGAGTGTCCTGGAGGGGGCACGGCCTGGTAAGAGGACTGGAAGGAAGACTGCTGTGGGTCCGGTGGGCCCAGACCTAGCTTTGGGTTAACTTCTGGGACCATCAAGAAGCCAGCCCAGACCCTTAAATACTGGAAGACCCCACCACTGTTTTTTTTTTTTGAGACACGTTCTTGCTGTATAGTTCAGGCTGGCCTTGAACTCACTATGTAGCCCAGGCTGGCCTCAAATTTGCAATGATCATCCTGCCTCAGCCTCCCCAGTGCTGGAATCACAGGCATGCGCCATCATGCCCGGCTAGACCCCACCACCCTGATTCCTTTGGCTGTGCATCAGCTTACCTGGAATCTTCTTAAAATTCCAGAGTTTGCCAGACTGTATCTTGCTAAATAAAACTGTAGCTATAGAATAGAGCTATGAAAGATGATGTAATTATGAAGGTGTCTTAGTTTCACCAGTAGTTTATTGTGTGAAATAAATTTACTTTTTTTTTTTAATTGACATTGTTTTAAAAAATAGAGCTATGGAGTAGAGCTCTGGAAACTATATATATGAAAATTTCTAGAAGAGCCTTCTTAGCTTAGCTTCTTCAGCCTTATTAGCTTAGGACAGTGATGGCAAACCTATGGCACATGTGCTGCAGAGTGCTGTTTGTATCATTGAAAGCTCTGAAAGGTTTGCTATCACTGCCTTAGGAGCTACAGATGGAGATTTGAGTATAGACTTTGCCTCTTTTCCAGCTATGAGTGTGGGCATATTCTTGACTTCTGAGCCTTAGTCATCACATCTGACAATGGGCATAAGGCCAACCTTGAAGAATTATGAAGATTAGAAATAATGTGCAGCTGGCTGGGGATTTAGCTCAGTGGTTCCGCCATGTGCCTTGAAAGCACAAGGTCCCGAGTTTGATCCCCAGTACCAAAAAAAGAAAGAAAGAATATGCAGCTGGGGGTATAGTTCAGTGGTTAGAGCATGCGCACCTGGGTTCCATCCCCAGAACAGAAAGAAAGAAAAAAAGTAAGAAGAAAAACACATGTATACTATTAATTACTAAAAGCAATTGACATGATTTTTTTCAGTGAAGGTGGCTACAAGGAAAACATCAAGGGCTGGAATGTGCTAGAACATAGCTTATGGCAGGTGAAAAAAAATTGCCATGGATGGAGGAAGAGGGCTGTGGGGAATCATCAGACATAGATATCCCACCCACCCCACCCCTGTGCTGAAGATCACAGTAGATGCATAGTAACGACCTCAAAGACGGGGACCGGTGGAGGGAAGCTTGCTTTCTGCGTAGTTTAAATTTCAGAGGAGTGTGAGTTGATTAGACTTGCCATCACGTAACTTCCTCTAACGAAAACAGTCTTAAACAAGGTGAAACTTTGCTCTTTTTTTCCCTTCCTTATATTTAGGAGCCCTAGAAGCAGGCAGTCCAGGCAGGAATTCACAGAATTAGAGCCAGGTCCCTTCTGTTCTGTTTTTCTGTTATTTTGGACTTGGTTCTCATGGTTACCTCACTGAGGCTGCTAGAGCTCCACCCATTGCATCTGGAAGGAGGGGCTAGGTGGGAAGAACAAGCCCATATTTGTAAACAAATGAAATAAAAAAAAAACTTCTCCCAAAGTTGTATATCCTGTTCGTCAGGATTTATTCTCATAGTCATAGCTGGCTGTAAGAGGGATGAAAATAGCGTTTGTTTGATGAGAGCCTGTGGCCCCCTGAAATGAGGAGAGATTGCTAAGAAAGGAGAGAGTGGAAAATGAGCACCAGCTAGCAGTCTCTGCCACAGAGTAGAAAATGGATCCAAGGTACTGAGCAGAACAGAACCACTCAGAATTCCATATGTAGGCAAGGCTGGAGTTGGAGCCGGGAGAGTAAGGTACTCACTCCTCCTTCTGTCTCCAGGCACCTCTGTGATGCAGGTGACAGCCACAGATGAGGATGATGCCATTGACACCAACAATGGCGTGGTTGCTTACTCCATCCACAGCCAGGAGCCAAAGGACCCAAACGACCTCATGTTCACCGTCCACCGGAGCACTGGCAGCATCAGTGTCATCTCCAGCGGCCTGGACCGGGAGGTGAGCCGCACTTAGCGAGGGTGCCTGGCAGGCTGGCCCATGCTGGACCTGAGTCCGCAGTCACAGCAGGACAGTGGGGGACCCCAGTCACCCAGGATGGTGCGGTGGTGCTCACGTGCTGATTGATGGCCCACAGCTCCCCCAGGCCAGTGGGCTGCTGCCGAAATCTCATGAAATCTCCTCTAAGGATGAGGAGACAGCCGTAAAATGCAAACTTCAGATATTTTCCCGAGGTTTTCTCATTTCCTTTGAATGGCTCACTTAGTGTACACATTTCCCAGATATGTCCCTGGTGTGCCACAAAGTTGAACTAGCTCCGTGGATATTGGAGTCGCCTTCTGTTTCCTAATTAATACCTTTGCACAAATCCCTGCTCAAAGCTCCCATTGTGGAGTAGCTGGGGGCCAGGGGTGGTCCCCAGGACAGGCCCAGCACCGCCCTCTGCTCCTATTTGTTTTGGTGGGGATGAGGGTGGGTCAAGGAGTTGAGGGGACACTCCCCTCCCCCACTACCTTGCCAAGGTTGTGCATCCCGGAGCCCAGGTGAGGGTCCCCTCAGAAGGGACTCACAGAGGGTTCTTCCCACCTCCTTTTCTCCCCAGAAAGTCCCCGAGTACACGCTGACCATTCAGGCCACAGACATGGACGGGGAAGGCTCCACCACCACAGCAGTGGCCATAGTGGAAATCCTTGATGCCAATGACAATGCTCCTGTGTTTGACACCCAAAAGGTAATGAATGCTCCTTCCTTCCTTCTTCCCTCATCTCTACTGAAGGACTAAGGTTTTCCTTTCTCATGAAACTCTGAAACCAGTCCATGTATGTGGCTTTAAGTCCTAGTCCCACAACTTACTGGCTGTGTGACCTCAGGTAAACTATTTAACCCTCTGTGCCCAGTTCCCAATCTGTAAAATAAAGATAATACCTCTGCTTTGTTCTGAGTGTTAAATGAAATGATGTATGTAGAGTTCTTAACACAATTCTGGCAAAATAGGTGCTCAATATGAAAATCTTTGTTAACATGAAAACTTACAAGGGGTGATCTAAATGTATGGTGAATATTGAATTTAAATTTTATTACAGTAAAAGACACATTTGCCAGGCCGGGGATTTAGCTCAGTGGTTCTGCCAATGGCCTCACAAGCACAAGGACCCAAGTTCGATCCCCGTACCAAAAAAAAAAAAAAAAAAAGATGAAAGAGAATTTCCAGACCTTCTAATTTTGGGGAGATTAATGCCAGTTTGTTTTTACTATAATAAATCTTTTTAGGGCCAGGGATTTAGCTCAGTGGTTTCGCCGCCTGCTGCGCAAGCGCAAGGACCCAAGTTCGATCCCTGGTACCGAAAAAAAAATTAAGTTAAATAAATAAATATTTTTACATTTAAACATTCACCATTTTTTAACACCACATATTTACTTTACATGTATTCCTGCCCACATCCCCCTGTAAATACTTGCACAGCTCCGCTGACAGAAGACTTAGTACCAGTCAGAGTGACCCTGCCCCATCTGTAGATACCTCTAGTTGCTGAACTTATTTATGCCTGATGAAAAATTTATTCTGGGGTCAGGGATTTAGCTCAGTGGCACCCCACCTGCCTTGTAAGCACAAGGTCCTGAGTTCAATCCCCGGTACCCAAAAAAAGAAATTTATTCTGAGAGGCTGGAGATGCAGCTCAGTGGTAGAACACTTGCCTAGCATGCAGGAGGCCCTGGGTTCAATCCCCAGCCCTGCCCCCACCCCTCAGATTATTCCAAGCAGTTGACACCCCAGTCTTTGCCACCAGCCCCAAGACCTCTATAAAAGTTCCTGGCTGTGGTCCCCAGCACAATTAGGCATTGCCCTTCTTTCCATCTTCCTTATAGTCTACTGATCTCAGTAAGCTAGGAGGCTATACTTGGCAGGGGCTTAGATACCAAGACCAGTGAGACTCCTGGAGCATCAGGCCCTGGGAGAACAGAGGGCAGCCCAAGGTGGATGTGGTTTGTCTTGGAACCTGTGAGGCTGATGCTTGGGACCTTCTGTACCTGTGTGTACCGTATCAGCCTGCTAAGGGGTTTGGTGGCCCTGGAAAGGGTAAAGCCTTGGGGCTCCCCAGAAGTGGTAAGGAGGATTTACAGTCCCCGAAGAGTGGAACAGCATCTTGGGATGGTCAGTCTCTCTCCTCTGATTGTACTATTTCCTACACTGACAGTATGAGGCTCGGGTGCCTGAGAATGGAGTGGGCCATGAGGTACAGAGACTGACAGTGACCGACGTGGATGCCCCCAACTCTCCAGCATGGCGTGCGGTCTACCGCATTGTGGGAGGGGACAATGGGGACCATTTTACCATCACCACCCACCCTGAGAGCAACCAAGGCATCCTGACAACCAGGAAGGTGAGTCCATTTGGGCTTTAAGCAAGACCTCATCTGAGTAACTTCCAAGATAAGGGGACACTGCCTGCCTGGGGCCACAGGTGAGAGTGACTAATCTAATGGAACCCATAGCATGGTGCTTCTCCCAGAGCCAATTCCCAAAGTCTTATCCTGGAATCACGCTAATTTTGCATTATTCTTTAACATATCTAGGTGTTTGGATAGTAAAAGCTTTTTAATTACTCAGTAGGCACATCCTTGCCTCTCAAAAAATTGTTTAAGCTTCTGTGAACTTCTATTTTTATTGGTAAATAGGGCATAAATTGGCTCAAAAAGACTTTGAATACAATTGATGCTTTGGGGCTGGTGAGTTAGCTCAGTGGTGTTGGCGCCTGCCTTGCAAGCGATCCCTGTATCCCCCGCCACCAAAAAAAACTACCTCCCTACAATTGATGCTTCAAGAAGATAGGTCTAATCTAATCCTTCTTTGATTTCTTTTACCTTATTTTTTTTTTGGCACTGGGGCTCGAACTCGGGACTTTGTGCGTGAGGCAGGCAGTGGAACCACTGAGCTAAATCCCTGGCCCTCTTTTACCTTCATGTTTACTTCCAAGAATGGCCTAGTTTGAGAAGCAAAGTTTCACATGATACTTTAAAGATGTCTTTGGGGGGGCTTAGGATATAGCTTAGTGGTAGAGTACTTGCCTAGTACGCGTAAGGCCCTGGGTTTGATCCCCAGCACTAGGGGGAAAAAAAAAGAAAAGATTCATTGTCCCTTTTTGTAACAAGTATTTTGTAATGCTACTTTTACATCATAAAATTAAATTCATTTATAATACAACTTAGCTAATTCATGCATTTTAGGAAAATAAGAGTACCCCAACTATGAAATAATAGAGAAATTTACAGGAAAAGTTACTGAGTACAAATACTTTGATATGTGAACTTTGGCATAACTATACTAGAAAACATAAAGAAGGGGCTAGTTAGTTGAATCTCTTTGTAGAATCACCCAAATCCAGTGGATACTGTATGTTGCCCTGGCAATACATACCACAAATGGTTTTGATGTTTTTTCAGAACGGTGAACAAATTCTTGAAAAAATCCTAAACAAATTAAGTTACAAGCTTCTCTCAGAAGCTGCAATCCTGGAGAATTCAATATACATTAAAACCATACCAAAAACTTAGTTTATATGTAAAACATGTTCTAGAGTCTTAATGATAAACAGATTTTTCACATCCATGAATGTACAAATGTCAAAGGAGATCTGACAAGTCACACAGGACATGAGGTCAGTCCTTTGTGTTCAAAAAATTGTGGAACATGGCATCCCTGCCTCGCCTTACAAATGCCAGTGGCACCCGAGGCAAGACAACTGGAATGCCCCTGTTACTTTTTAAAATATCCCCTAGTGTCACCACCTCACTCGGCCCTAACTAAGCTAGTTGCCTTTGAGGTAGTGTAAGAAGTCCCTCTAGATGTCTACTCAGAAAAAACAAGGCTTTGGAGGATAGAGATAGAGCAGGATTGTTGGTGGGGGACTCAGTCACCTCACCCTGGGCCCTTTCCTTTTGATGTCCACGGGCCTCACAAAATGGTTTCAGGTCCTTATTTCTTCTCTCCTAGGGCTTGGATTTTGAGGCCCAAAACCAACACACACTTTATGTAGAAGTGACAAATGAGGCTCCCTTTGTGGTGAAGCTCCCAACCTCCACAGCCACTGTCGTGATCCATGTGGAGGATGTGAATGAGGCCCCTGTATTTGTCCCACCCTCCAAAGTCATTGAGGCCCAGGAGGGTATCTCCGTTGGGGAGGCTGTCTGCATCTACACTGCACAGGATCCCGACAAACAGGATCAGAAGATCAGGTACTTGGGGACTGGGCTCTGAGTCAGCCAAATGCACCAGTATGGTGGGATAGGTTGTTCTAATTATCAAAAAATTATTCAGTGTTTTGAATATTGCCCTTGCACTGGGCCTCTCCTTCCTTCCATGCTTGCAGCTAAAGATTATGAGTTAGGGGAGGGAAAGCTATGTCCTCTCATTAATTGGGTATCCCTGCTGGGCCCCCACCTGCTACTTTAGGCTACATTTCCAATGAGATGCTTTTCCCATGGGGGCTTAGGAGCCCAGTGACCATCTGCTGTTGGCCTGAAGAGGCTTTGAAAGATGACAATAGAATTCCAAATATTCTGGATGTGACCCTCCTCAACTCTTCCTCTCCAGCTACCACATCCTGAGAGACCCAGCTGGGTGGCTAGCAATGGACCCAGACAGTGGGCAAGTCACTGCTGCAGGCCTCCTAGACCGCGAGGATGAGCGATTTGTGAGGAACAACATCTACGAAGTCATGGTCTTGGCCACTGATAATGGTGAGTGCTTCCTTCCAGCCCTTCCACAAGGGATTCCTTGGATTCCCATGGAACATGCCGTAGCATGTCCCCTGCATAGCGAGGGATGGGGGTGGGGGTAGACAGCAAACCAGTCTGAAGTTAAAGGACTCTTTCAAAGGAGTCTTTTTAAGGACTGCTCCTAGGGTAAAGGCTGTGACCCTGATTTTCCTAATACCCCAGAGTCAGGAGAGGATCTCTGAACCCTGAATTGGGCTTCCGTTTCCCTTTACAGTTGATCGATAAGGGATGCCTGGATTGATTAGTGATGTCTCACCATGATGGATTAGTATGTAACCAAGGGCTGGAGGCAGGTTCCCTGATGCTCATCAACAAACACTGGACCAGCCCCGGAGTGCCCAGTGGGTTTTATTCTGTGACAGATTGTCAGGGCTCTCAGGGTGAAGTGGCTGCAGCTGCACTGAGATTGGTCAATGACGTCTGCTGTGGCCACAAGTCAGAACAATAACTTGATTGCCATGTATTTGCCATCACTAGTTTGATGTATACTGAAGCTATGGGATGGAGGGACTTGAGGGGTTAGAGCTAAGTGGTGAGCAGGAGCCTGTCTGAGGATGACTGAGTAGGTCTCAGGCAAGCTTAACGTTGTTCATCCACCAGCCAAGGGCAGATGCTGAAGAGATCATATGTGTAATTATGAACAGGGAACCCTCCCGCCACTGGCACAGGAACCCTCCTGCTAACACTTACTGACATCAACGACCACGGCCCGGTCCCTGAGCCCCATCAGATCATCATCTGCAACGAAAACCCAGTGCCCCAAGTGTTGAACATCACAGACAAGGACCTGTCCCCCAACTCCTACCCTTTCCAGGCCCAGCTCAAATTCGACTCAGACATCTACTGGATGGCAGAGGTTAATGAAAAAGGTGAGTGGTGGCAGCAGGTGGGTGCCAGTTCTGCTGAATGGGTGTCGCTCCATCCTAGGACCCCACACAGTCCTGTTCCAGAAGTACTTCTGGGTCTCAGAAGTAACAGATGCCTCAAGAACATCAATCAAATGCCATTTATTTTATGGCAAGGAGCATTTTCAAGGCTGTGGATAGATCCCAGCACCGCACGCGCTCGCGTGCCCCCCCCCCCACGCTAGCTATTGGCTTAGTGTATGCATTTGGAGTTCCACAGAAGCCCTAAAAGACCTTTCTACTCCACCCAGCCTCCCTGCACAGATGGGAAAAGCAAGGCCCAGAGGGGAGTGACTTGCCTGATATTACCTGGCAAGAGTTAGGACTCCAGCACAGGGCTGGGGACATACTGCAATGGTCAAATGCATGTTTGGCTGGTGGGAGACCTGGGATTTCACACACACAGGCATGCACACACGCTGACACACTCCCGCACAGCAATAACAGCTGACGCTCACTGAGTGAGTCTACTTTGGGCCCTATCCACTTCGGGTGCTTCACACTAAATTACTTAATCCTGGGTAACCCATTTTCAGGTCCCTCTTCTGTCTCTCTTAGTAGCTATCTTTCATTAAATTTTTCCTACTCTTAACCTCTGTTGTTCCTAGAATTTATTCTTTGATTTTAGTGAACATGAACTTGCGTTTCGGATATCTAGTAGGTTTGGGAGTTACATCTATTCCCCCTATATCACTAGCACTGCAAGGGCAGGGGATTTGGCTCAGTGGTGCCGCCGCCTGCCTCGGAAGTGCAAGGTCCTGAGTTTGATCCCCATTATCCCCCCCAAAAAGAGTTCCAACTAGCACTGCAGAAAATAATAAAAAGTAAAGTTATCTGGGCTGGGGATTTAGCTCAGTGGTTCTGCCGCCTGCCTCTCAAGCACAGGGTCCCGAGTTCAATCTCTGGTACCCCAAAACAAAATAAAGATCAGTTAAAAAAAAATTACTTAATCTGTACATTAATCCTATAAAAGAGGTAGTACCGTTGGCTTGCTTACTCTCGCATGCAAGTTTTACAGATGAGGAAACCAGGGCTTACAGAAATTTAAATATCTTGCCAAAGGTATCACACCTCACACTAAATACCGGCACCAGGATTTTAATCTAGACCCCTCTCCCCTTTTTTTTTTTTTTACAATACTGAGGATAGGGCCGGAGATTTAGCTCAGTGGTTCCGCCGCCTGCCTCGGTAGTGCAAAGTCCCGAGTTCAATCCCCGATACCAAAAAAAAAAAAAAAAAAATGAAGAAACAAATACTGAGGATTGAATCTTGGGCCTTCATACTGAACTACATCCTCTAGCCCTTTAAAAAAAATTTTTTTTTGGTAAAGGGGATCGAACTCAGCCCCTTGCGCTTGTGAGGCAGGTGGCAGAACCACTCAGCTAAATCCCTGGCCCAAATTTGTTTTTTTGAGACAGGGTCTCATTATGTAGTTCAGGCTGGTTTTGAACTCACTACTGTGTATGGCATCGTCTGGCCTCAAACTTGTGTCAATCCTCCTGCCTTAGCTTCACAAAGGTACCACGCCTGACTTTTTTTTTTTAGATTATTTTGAGACAGGGTCTGGCTAAATTAACCAGGCTGGGCTCAAACTTAGAAAACCTACCTCCACTTCCCATAGGGGAAGGGATTCTAGACATGCACCACCACACACAGTTTAATCCCGACTTCTGATGTACCATGATGCTCTATTGAACCCTGACTATATGCAAGGTGCTAGCTCTTTCTTTCTTTCTTTTTCTTTCTTTCTTTCTTTCTCTCTTTCTGTTTTTCTTTCTTTCTTTCTCCCTTTCTTTCTATGTCTTTCATCTTTCTATCTCTTTCTTCCTTTCCTTTCTTCCTTTTTTTCTACCAAACTCTGTGTTCAGTATTTTCATCTCTGTGTTCAGAGGAAAATGAAGCTTAGGGAGATTAAATAGCATACCTAAGGGCACAACCTGGGTGAGAAGTAGAAGTTGAAGCAAGAAGATAATAATAGGAAACAGGGAGATCGATCTTTTGCAGATTGGAAGAAGACCAACAGGTGGAGGAAGGGGGAGGGAGCGGAGAAGGGGACCTAAAAAGAATTAAGTTGTGTTAATGCGCATGTGCCAACTCCCCCATGAATGTAATCATTATGTACGGCAATCATGTACTGATAAAAATTAAAAATAAAAAGAATTTGAAGCCAGGCTTAGATCCCAGAGCCTCAGGTCCTCTTGTCCCCACCCACCTCCCTGTCCTGCCTCCTTCTAGTCCACTGGCTTGGAAGTTCTCAGCCTTCAAGATTTTTCAGTTGGCACTTGGAGTGGAGAAGGGTCTTACTGGCACTGAGTTGGTGCGGACTCAGAGTGGATGAGAAAGGTGACCCCAGTCCCAAGTGCCAGTAAGGCCACCAGGGAAACTGCCTCACCTGGGCATCAGGTGCTTCCTCGCTAGTGGGGCTTCCCAGCAGGGAGATGGGTAATTCGTACATTCAGATTCTGTCCCTAAGAAACCAAGTGCTGCCTTTCTATATGGCTGTTAAGCCCAGCTCAGCAAGGATTCTCAGACCTGCTGCAGGCAGGCAAGTTTTCTTTTTTATGATTCCTGTGATTTTGCAAAGCGGAGGCTGGTCTCCTGTCACCCACTTGTGGTCTAAAAACCATTTTGTTTTCCCTTCCTGAACATGTCATGTAAGAGCTTGAACTCAGGAGCCAGATGCTTGATTCAAGACCCAGCTCTTTCATTTACTATTCATTTACTGTTGATATACTATTACTGACTGTGGGCAAGTTACCGAACTCCCTGTACCTCAGTTTCCTTATTTGTAGTATGAGGTTAATTCTTGTACCTACTTCCTACCAGTTACTGTGACAACAAGTGAACGCATGCTTGAACACTGGTGCTCAGTAGATGGGAACAGCCATCTTCAGTGCCATTTCTTCCCAGCAACGATCACAGATCTAGTCAGGCATGGTGGTGCACACCTGTAATCCCAGCATTTGGGAGGCTGAGGCAGGAGGATCGCCTTGAGTTCAAGGCCAGCCTGAGCTACATAGTGAGACTCTCTCAAAAAAAAAAACACAGATCTGGCTCTTAGTGTGGGGCCAGATCCTCAAGGGACCAGCACCTCCACATAATATTGACATCTGATTCTGGGTTTTGATATATTTACTTTTTCTATTTGCCCGTGTTCCTGTTATCAAGGAAATTCATCCATGTGACCTTGGGGTACTTACTTGATTCCTTCAGCCTCAATTTCTGTTTTTATAAATTAAAGTTAGTAACAGAACCTGCCTCTTAAAATTGAGGTCAGGGTTAAGGGAAGGGTCTGTAATAAGCATGCATTTAGTCGTTCCTGCCATTAGCAACAGCATCTGAGAAGTCAGCCCTAGAGCATGATGCAGATGTTTTGGTGATGTGCCCACTTTGGCCTCTCCATGCGGAGCACCAGGCACTGAGACTGCAGAACTGTCTCTGCCCCGGCTGAATGGGAACAGGGTAAATTCTACCCGCGGCACAATGCCCCTCCCCTTTATTTGTTGTGCTCGGGATCAATCCCATGACCTTGGGGATGCTGAGCAAGTACCTCACCACAAGCTACATCCCAGCCCATGTGAAGAGCCTTTTTTCTGGAAATGGCTTGTGGGCAAGTGGGGATCGGGTGGAGGGTGTTAGAAAGTCAGGGCTCATTTGTGATTGCCCAGGTGATGGGGGAGTCAGGGTGAGTGCTGTAATGCTGGGGGAAATCCAGCATGATGGGGAGAGTTCTGCTCACTACCCATCCCTTGAGAAAGCTGGGTCTAAACTGAAGGCCTTTCATCAGAACCCCTGGCCCTGTATTTCTTACCTGCAAACATAGCCTGCCTCTCCTCACTCTTGAGTTTGCCCTGTGGTCTTCCCAGCGTGGTGTGGTGCCCATGTGCACGCCACATGGCCTCACTTCTGCTTCCTCCCTGGTCCTCCAAAGGCCAGTTACCCTAAGGCTCATTGCAGCATTTCCGGCATCCCTGATATATCATGCAGCCACTAACGCCATGATAACAGGGTTTGGCATCCTGTCTGATCTGCTTAACGCCACCACTTAAATAACCAGGTTGCCTGCATTTGGATTCAGTCACCATGAAATAGTCACTGGGAATATAGATATTTCATACATAAAAATCCAGTCATAGAGTTGAAGTATAAACAAACATTATAAGAGCAAAATAATGCAAAATAGCTGGGTGTGGTGGTGCATGCCTTGTAATCCTAGCGCCCAGGAGGCTGAGACAGGATGGTGTCAAGTTTGGAGCCAGCCTGGGGAACATAGTGAGTTCAGGACCAGCCTGAACTACAAAGGGAGACCCTGTCTCAAAAAACCAAAAAAAA